CCTTCTTTTTAGGAGGTTATAGTCATTTAAGTTTTTTAAAACAGAAAACAGTAAAAATCACCAATTACAAAATACATATGTAAAGTAAGAAGTTGAAGTCCTAACCCTCCCCCAACATACCACCTATCCAAGGTTTAAGTCCAGGGTAAGTGCTAGTTAGCAAATGATGCCCACCCATCTGATAGTTTCCTGAGTTTATGCAGACATTCTACATGGAACTCTATGTTGGGAGAAATGCTTCCACAGAGGGAGAGAATGTCCATCTCCCAAGGAGAGACAGACGCAGGATCCTGTGACCTCTTTCCTCCCCTCACTCACTCTTCCTCTGGATTGGACAACATGATTTATCCCCCTTCTGCCTCCCTTTTAATTCCTTCTACCCTCTCCCCATCCCCCACTCTATCACCACCTCCTCAGAAATCTTAGTTTAGAAGTTCTACCATTTATTGTTACTTTGCTAGAGTTTACCTTTCTGTTTTCAGCAGTCTTACTTAAACCTAAACCTAAATGTCTCTATAAATATACCAAAATTAAATAATCATTTTACCTGCCCATTGCAATGAGATCTTTAACACACTAGTATGCCTTCTAATCCTTCCCACTTCTCCCAGCCCCACAACTCAGAGTTAAATTATTGGTTAAAATAATATGAAACTTAAGTTTAGTCATTTAAATTTTTCCTTAAGAACAGGTGTGACAGACACACACTAGGGTGACCCCCAATATCACACCCTTGTGTAATTCCCTCCTTTTGAGTATGAGCTTCTAACTAACAGCATACGACAAAAGTTAAAAGATTTTGAAGATGTGGTGAAGGTCCCTAATCAGTCGACTGTGAGTTAATTTGGGTGGGCCTCACCTAATCAGGTGAGACCTTTAACAGGGTTCAGGCCTCTCCTGAAGTTAGAGACTTGAACCAGCAAAGGGTCACTCTCATCATCGCTGGCTTTCAAGAAGCAAACTGTCGTGAATTCTACAGCCACAAGGATATTAATTCTGTCAACAACCTGAGGGGACTTTGAAGTTGATCTTGCCTTATTCCAGTCCCAGAGAGGTCAGCCCAGCCAACACTTTGATTCCAGCTTGGTGAGACCCTGAACAGGGAATCCATGAAGCCATGCCTGGACCTATGAAACTGTGAGATCACAAAAGGGTGTTGTTTTAAGCCACCACCTTGTAATAATTCAACATGCAGCAATAATTAATAGCAGGTATGCCTATTTTTTCAAGAGACTGTTCTTCGTCATTAAATTACCATTCACAAACACACTAATATCATCTATGTAAGTTTACCCCTGCATTTAAAGACATCTGTTGAGGGGCCGGCCCGGTGGCGCAAGTGGTTAAGTGCGCGCGCTCCGCTGCGGCAGCCGGGGGTTCACCGGTTCGGATCCCAGGTACGCACTGATGCACTGCTTGGCAAGCCATGCTGTGGCGGCGTCCCATATAAAGTGGAGGAAGATGGGCACGGATGTTAGCCCAGGGCCAGTCTTCCTCAGCAGAAAAAAAAAAAAAAAACGAGGAGGATTGGCAGATGTTACCACAGGGCTGATCTCCTCACCAAAAAAAATAAAATAAAATAAAGATGTCTGTTGAATCTTCTTCCTCCTGTTCTCTATCTTCCCCTATCTGACTATCTTTGTTCTGATTTCGTTCCAATTTCATAAAGACACTTTTTAAAATAATTTTCTTAAAGAGGGTACATGGTATTATATTTTCTGCATGCTTAAATATATAAAATGTCTTTCTTTTGCCTCAAATATAAATGATCCTTTAACAACTAGTCCTTTTCATTGAAAAGTCTGAAACACTGCTCTATTATTGCTTAGTTTCATTTTAGAGATGAGCAGCTCAATGCTGGTTCTCTTTCTTTTGTATTTAACCTGTACTCCCTGTGAAGAATCTTGTAAAAAGAAAATTCTCTTTATCCTTGGATTTGGAAGTTCTACCAGGAAATCTCAAATTGTGTATCATCTCCTTCATTAATCCTCTGGCACTCTATAAGCCCATTCTATTTGAAAACTTCAATTTTCTGCAGCTCATAGACCTCTCCCTCAGGTAATTAGCTGATTCTGGTTTTATTTCCGTGTGTTCCTTCTTCTTCTTGAGCACCCACCATTGAGACGGAAACATCTCTTGGATCTTTTCTCCACATTGCCTAGGTTTTCACTCATGGTTTCCACTTCCTCATATTTTTACTTCTATCATGAAATAGTTCCTCCTTTTGCTTTTCCAGATTTAAATTCAATTTTGAGTAGTATACATTACTTTTTTCACTTCCTCTCTTGAGTGTCTAGAGTCTTTGTTTGTTGCTGCAATTTTCTTTTTATTTCCTAGATTTTTTTCCTTCTTTGAGTTGCTGGCACAGACTCCTGGTACAGGCTCCCACAGGCTGGAGGTTGGCAGTGTCAGGCAGAGACAGATGACGCTGGAGATTCTCCTCCAACTGGGCTCTGTCTACTGAGGCACGGGGTAGAGGTCTCCCAGTTTGGGATTCTCAGGGCTCTCCAGGTATGAGCAGGAGACCATTCTCTCCCAGCCACATAAAAAAGAAAGGACCATCTCAGCCCCACCAGGCAACTACCTTTGAGAGCACCCAGTATCCACGAGATCATAAGAGCCCTCTACCTCATGGGGTCACATGCCGCACATTCACAGCATGTATTTCCTCTCCATAAGCTGAAGGGTCCTTTGGGCTCAGCTGGTCATTGAGACCTCAGTTCTCCCCAGAACCCTATCCCTTAACCCTGTTGTATGCAAAGGCTCCTAACATCTGCATCCAAAAGCTCAGATGTATTTGAGGTCCCCTCCAAGGTCATCTACCTTCTTGAGTCATCCCCAGCAGAGAGTCAGTAATTGATGGAGGAAAGTCACAGAAAGGTAGAAGGGGTGGAATTTAGAGCAAATATGGAAGGATCAACCTTGAGCAGGATGAGGAGCACAGGATGAGCTAATACAGAAGAGAATAAAGTTTTAGTGGTTGTGACGGCAGATGAGTTTGTGGGGTAGGGGTTCTCAAAGTGTGGCACATGGGCCAGCACATCAGCATCACCTGAGAACTTACCAGAAACTCAAATTCTTGGGCCCTACCCCAATCTACTGAATCAAAAACTCTAGTGGTAGGGTCCAGCAACCTGTCTTGAGAAACCCACCAGCAGATTCTGATAGATGCTCAAGTTTGAGAACCACTGCTGTAAGATGTGGAAAATCAGATAAACTTGAAAATATTTACAAATGATAACCTCTCTTCTATGCCATGAAGATGAAAGTGAAGTCAGTTATCTTCTAAGGGTGAGTGACTTAATATGGAGCTTGGGGGAAGTAGAAAAATTGGGGAATACCCTTGAGATAAATGGAAGAAGGAAGTGAGAAAGGCTAGGATCACAGTCTACGAATTTGTGGAGACACTAGTGCGTCACCATATGCATGCATATGCAATTGTAGTTTTTATTTCTCAGTCATGATAGCATGAAAAATGCCTCAAAGATAAAAACATAAGGGGCATATTCAGAATACACCCAATTAATGATTTTGTCATTTATAAAGATGAAAGTCACTTCATAAAATTCTATCATAAACTAAAGAATTTTGGAATTTTTTTCATGTTTGAAGCACATTTACCACTATGTTTTATTGAAGTTTTATTCTTATTGAAGAATCTCAAAATCTCTGTCAGCATTACCGTCCTTCCTTTATACAGACAAAATAAAGATGAATCAGTTTAAGAGATTTATCCAGGTTCATTAGGAAATCAGTGGCACAACTGAGGTGAGCTGCCTCGGTGTGACTCATTGCTGCTTTATTCTGCTTTCCAGAATGGAGCTGACTCCCTATTTCTCAACACTCTGATAGACCTAGAACTGAAATCCATGTGGATGAAGCCAGCACATCTGCCCTTGTGAAGTCAGGCTCTAAACGGGCATCCCACTTGGAAAGAAGCAACAGATCTGCCAAACATAAAGCAGAGGCCTGGCCCAGCTTCAGCCCTTCCATCCAAAGGCTTAATCAGGTTCATCTGTGTGAACCTTGAGGCTCACTAAAAAGACCTAAATAAAGGTGGGTCTATCCACAGATAAGCGGTGTCAGCTGCAACGCAAGGTCCCCAGGCAGATGGACGGTATCAAGTAAGCGGTTGTGGGAGCAAGAGGTTAAGTGAAATGGCTATAAATAGAGCCCACAAAAGCACTACAAAAATCTAAACCCAACCCTAAAGTTGCAGCTTAGAGAAATGTGTGCAGCAGCTGAAAAACAGGCTCTCCTGGCATGGTGCTGTCTGAGGGTGTATGGCCTCGAATGAAGCCACCCCATCCACCAATCGTAGCTGGAAACCATGGAGGAGGCAGAGGAAAGGGCATTAGGACCACGCTGGGCGGGCTCCCGAGGGATACCATTACCTACCACCCCACAGGGTTATTGTGAGGATTTTATGAGTTAATGAATGTAAGGACTTAGAACAGGCTGACATGTTGTAAACACTCCATCAATGTTAGCTGTTTTTCCAGAGCGACTTTGACACGCATCCACTCTAATGAACTAACATTTCCCACCCAACTGAATCATTTAACGAGAATTAACTTTTTCACCAATACGTGAGATTCCACCTGCCTCCTCCAGGAACGAGCACAGCATCCTGTCTGCCCAGCAAGCACTGTGGAGCAGCGTGCTTCCCTCTCCCACAGTTTCACAGCCATGTCCTCTGATCTACGTCTGACACTCCACTTCACATCACTTTTTATCATCAGCTTTTTACACGTTCAACAGAGAAGAGAGCAAGGACACAAGAAGAAGAAAAGGGCAGGAGAGAGACGTTTCAGTTTATCAGGAGGAAACCCGAGACTTACAAATTGGTCTCTTTGGCCCCATAAATCATCCCACCGCCAGCATTTGATTTTTATTTTAAGCGATTTCATGCTCCTGTTAGAGGTTTCTGCATTCAAGTTGAGAAATCCGTGAAGTCACTGAGAGCCACCTCGGCACAGGAAGGCCGAGTGGTCGCTCACCTTTGTATTCTGCCAGGCACACGCACTCATAGCCATTAACGAGGTCCCTGCAGGTGGCAGCGTTCAGGCACGGGGCAGAGAGGCACTCATTGTATTCCTCCTCACAGTAGAGGCCGTGGTAACCTGAGGGACAGAGAGAAAGGCCTACCGTCAAACAAACCCACACGGGACCAGACTGCAAAGAAGGCAGTGGGTATTCACTGAAAAAGTAAGGCACAGACAGAAGGGATCTAATGAGCTGGGTCTCTTGGGGTATAGTTGAAATGTGGATTTCTGGTAAGGCTATGAAGAGTCTGTTCTTATCACCCTTTTTCATGATCCAAGTATAAAGAAGTGATCCCATTTATGCACCAAATGGTTCCGTTATTACATCATGTCCAATGGTACTGGTGACCCAGAGATGCTGGTTACTGAGAGCGTCTGCTGTGGCCACAAGAGACAGTGATAGTGGCAGGACTCATAACAGGGGAGTAAGAGCTCCTTTCAAGGATGTGGACCACATTTTTCCTCCAATCAATTAGAAAAATATATCTAACTAGGGAGAATTTCATTAAAGGAGAAAAGGATCAATGTATTTCCTTTGCTTTTCAAGTCAGGAAAGAAGCTCAACTAGAAAGGCTTAACTGAAATTCCTGATGAAATGTGGGGTATTACTTTTTTGTTTATTTAAAATTATGATTATCTAAATTATAATATTTTAAATTGTACTCAAATTTTTTAATTATTAAAAATATAAAAATAGCAATGAAGGAAAAGAAACCAACAATTTCTCAATAAAGATGGCTTTTACTCTCCTATTTGCAAAACAGGTGTTTATTCTAAGGGACACGACGACAAAATTCTTTGAGATTCACTCATGAACGTTATGCTGTTTTTAACTTTCAAAAACATGTGTTATTGCCAATTTGCAGTGAAACTGGGCCATTTTTGTCTGGCCCTGTCCAAACAATGAGAAACATGTGAGCGCTTTCAAAAATCACCCTGCCTGTGTTGGTTCTGAATTCAGATAAGCAGAAAAAACAAACTCGTCCTCAAGTGGGAACTAAAACTGCTAGCTTTTTTTGCAGTTTTCCAATTCATAACCAACCCTCAGACTCAGCAAGTCCCACTAGGACATGCTAACGGGTTGAACTGTTTTGTTTCTTGTGCCTATCACAAAAGTAGGTTAAGCTCATATTTGCATTATTAACAGATAATTTTTCAAATGTGTTGCATTTCAGTTGTTTTCAAACTGCTTTCCAAATGTAAGCAGTGATAATGGCGTCTTTGAGGAGACCTCAACCTACCTAAGACAAATATACCATGGTTTTCAATTCTTCTCTCTGACTCTACATCTTGTAATTTTAGGGAAATACTTCCTATTACTCTTCATCTGAGTAGTCCAATCATCTAGATCATAGTTTCTCAATTAACAGCAATTTTGTCCCCCAGAAGGCATTTGGCAAGTTTGGAGACATTTTTAGTTGTCACAACTAGGGTGGAAGGGAGGGAGTTGCTACTGGCATCTAGTGTAAAGATGCTGCGAAACACCCTACAGTGCACAGGACAGCACCCCCATAATACACAACTCTCCAGCTAAAGTGTTAATAGAGCCGGATGCAGAAACCCTGCTCTAGCTCAGGGATCAGCAAACAGCTCACTGGCCAAATCCATCTCAGCCTGTTTTTGTAAATAAAGTTATATTGAGACACAGCCACACCCACCCCTTTATGTATTGTCTATAGCTGCTTTCACACTATTATGCAAGATTGAGTAGCTGCAACAGAAACCATATGGCTTGCAAAGCCCAAAATCTTTACTATTGGGCCCCTTATAGAACAAGTTTGCTGACTCCTGATCTAGATTCAACAGGAAATCTTTCTTTTTACAAGAGTGTTGGATATTAATCCCTTATCAAATGTATGGCTTGCAAACATTTTCTCCCATTCCACAGGTTGCCTTTTACTCCATTGATTGCTTCTTTGGTGTGCAAAAGTTTTTTACTTTGATGTAGTCCCACTTGTCTATTTTTGCTTTTGTTGCCTGTGCGTTTGGTGGCTTATCCAAGAAATCATTGCCAAGACCAACGTTATGAAGCTTTGCTTGTATGTTTTCTTCTAGGAGTTTTATGTTTCAAGTTTTATATTTAACTCTTTAACCCATTTTGAGTTGTTTCTTGTGAATAGGGAAAGATAATACAAATAGTGAAAGATAATACAAAAAGATGCTCAACATCACTAATCATCAGGGAAATGCAAATCAAAACCACAATGAGATATCAGTGCACATCATTAGGATGGCCATTATGAAAAAAAATCCACCCTGGGGCCAGCCCTGTGGTGTAGATGTTGGGTTCAGTGCACTCCACTTCGGCAGCCTGAATTCGGATCCAGGGCGTGGACCTACACCACTCATTGGTCATGCTGTGGCGGCAACCAACATGCAAAATAGAAGAAGATCAGCTCAGAAGTTAGTTCAGGGAGAATCTTTCTCACCAAAGAAAAAAAAAAAAAACGAATGATCTCTTAAGGTAAATGTTTTTAGCTCAGGGACAATATTCCTCAAGCAAAAAGAGGAATATTGGCAACAGATATTAGCTCATGGTGAATTTTTCTTCACCAAAAAAACCCCAGCAACCCAGAAAATAACAAGTTTTGGCAGGGATGTGGAGAAATTGGAACCTTTGTACACTGTTAGTGGAAATGTAAAATGGTACAGCTGCTATGGAAAACAGCATAGGGATTCTTCAAAAATTAAAGATAGAACTACCATATGATCCACAACCCCACTTCTGGATATTTATCCAAAAGAGCGGAACACAAGATCTCAAAGAGGTATTTGCATTCCCATGTTCATTACAGCATCATTCACAATAGCCAAGAGGTGGAAACAAACTAAATGCCCATCAACAGATGAATGGACAAAGAAAATGCGATATATACAGACAATGGAATATTATTCAGTCTTTAAAAAGAAGGAAATCCTGTCATGTGCTATAACATGGATGAACCTTGAGGCCATATGCTAATTGAAATAAGCTTGTCACAAAAGGACAAATACTTCACGATTGCACTTATACAAGGTATCTAAAGTAGTCAAACTCATAGAAGCAGAGCAGAATGGCAGTTGCCAGGGGCTGGGGGAAGGGGGAAATAGGAAGTTGCTGTTCAATGGATATAGAGCTTCAGTTATGCAAAATGAAAATGTTCTAGAGATCTGCTGTATGACAATGTGCATATAGTTAATAATACTGTACCATACACTTAAAAATTTTGTTAGGGTCGATTTCACGCTATGTGATTTTTATCACAATTTTTTAAATTATATATATATATATATATATATAAAGAATTAAGTGTCTTTTGGCTTCTTCTCAGTGTGAAGCAACAATCACAAGCAGCATCTTTTCAATTGTATTTGTTCTCACAGCAGATCTTTTAGAAACCAACTTGAAAGGATAATATATAACCCTTCATCATCTTTGACCTCTAAATTGGGGTGTTATTTACACAGACAAAAATCAAAAGCAAACTTCATGAAATCATCCATAATTGTTTTCATTTTTTGAAAACAGTATCATTATCTTTTTCTACTAGCAACATGAAAAGCAAATGAGGAAGTTATTTTACAGAGATAATTAAGCTGGTGATGTTTTTCCTCCTCGGGGGAAACAAAGATAAAGGTTTCATATGCTAAAACTGTTTCTTCAGAGACGGTAACATTTAAATGTCTTTATGGAAATGTCAAGGCACCCTTTACACTCAGTGCCAAAGAACCTAAATCAGACTGTTTGAACAAAAAGGCATTCCTTCCAAAAGAGAAGGCTCCTGTGAAAATGAGGCAGCCACCTCCTGCTGGTAATTAATTGGGCCAAACAAATTAGCTCAGGGCAGTATGCCCAGGGTCTAGGAACATTAGGCTAGTCCAAAGAATTTTTTAAAAATAAAAGATCAGAAGGGTGGGATCAAAATGGCCCCTTCCAGGGCACTGATCGTCATCACCACTGCTCTGACCTTTGCATGACTTGCTCCTGATTATTCAGCTCCAATCACTTCCTTAGAGTTGACAGAACATAACATACTGGATGTGGAGAGTCAGAAAGAGCAGTCAAGACGGCTGCCATGTTTAGGCTGAGTGAGTGGATGATGTTGCCATTGACATGAGCAGGTATGGCCAAAGGAATAACAGGTCTTAGGGGAAGGTGACCAGTTGGGTTTTGGACATGTTTAACTTGGGGCTCTACTTAGGGAGGTCCAGCTGGCAGTTGGAAAAATGGGTTTGAATAGCATAGAAACAGCACTTTGGGAGTTAGTTGCCTGGAAGTGGTATTGAAGTTTTCATCAAAGAAGAACATGGAGAGGAAAAAGGAGGGGATTGAGGTTGGATCTACACGGATGGGCAAGTGGAGAACAAGAAGTCAGATGGGGACACTGAGCAGGGATGGGGAAGGAGAGGAGGAAAGGTCAGGGAGTGCAATGTCATGGAAGTCAGAGAGGAAAGGAAACCAAGGAGGGCTAGTTAACAGTGTCAAAGGCTCCAGAAAACTAGGAGGTCACTGGAGACCCTCAAAATCATGGCTCTTAATGGAGGCTGTACTGCCCTTTAGAGGGTGTTTTGGAAATTGGGGATGAAGGGACTGATTATCACAATGGTTGGAGGGTTCTACTGGAATTTAGTGGGTGGGGGGCAGAGATATTAAACATCTTGCAATGTCTAGGATACCCTTGCAGAACAAAAAAGGACCTGGCATCCTTCACAAGTTTGGACTGTCCCACTGGACATTCGTGGAGGTGAAAACTCTGTGTATAACTTTCCAGGTCTAGAATCTAACTGCTTCACACGTACAGCACAGTTTTGAAGATATACTGAGTTTTCCTAGAATGTAACTCCTGGGTAAATTAAGAGGAGATTGTACCATGAGTTGTGTACCATTTTGGAAAATCACTTCACAAGAGCAATAGTTCTCAGGAATTTAAGTCACCAATAAAGCACACCTGTATCAGTAAACAAAACAAAACAAAACAAAAATCATTTCTTCGGATAATTTTCTGACAATGCTATCCAAAGTAGCTGGCCCCACCAGTTACTCAACACAATACTCAATTGATTTCCCTCACAGCACTTACAACTGTCTGAAATCACAT